TACCAACCTAAGAGATATAAGTGTATTTTCTTGCTTGACGGGCTGAATAATGTAACAACTTGCTCTCTGGAGTAAAACAGCCAACACATTTAACCAATTCGATGCAATTCAAAAGCTAATCCTATTTTTGTTCTGTTTTTCAGAAAAATTCGTCAAGTTATGTCAGCGAGACAGTTGGCGCCGTATCTTGCCGTACTTAGATGCTGTTTCGGTCACATGACCACGATGACCAATAGCTGCGTCGCGGACCCAGCGCTGTCAGGTGGCGCGAGTTTCATTGCAACCATATCTGTTGGCCATTGGAGACACAGACAAGATTCAAACATGGTGCTTAGTGCTTGGTGACAGCCACAGTATTGGTCTGCCAGCACCAACTGAGCCAAAAAGAGCTGTTGATTTGTTGCTGAAGTCTTATTATGTATTAAATGTGCATTTTCCCCTTGGGTGGAAACATGTCTTTAGATTTGTTTTGAGACATGTCTATGATATTCCCCCTGAAAATCGGAGACTGTCTGTTTTTACCCAAGAATGGCTTCAAATCAATTTTTCAATCTGTCGTAAGTGCTCTTAAAATCATTTGATGTTTATAACTAAGAAACTCTACCTCACTTTTTCTTGGTAAATCAATTTTTTTAGTTTAATTATGTCTCTTTTTTGAGAGAATCCAGAAGATCCTCAGTAATTATAATGAATTCAGTTTTTTTTATCTATCCAAGCTGTCATTTTTTGTATCAAAAGCATTTGAGGAAGACAGCAGTTATATATTGGAACTGTTAAATCGCTTTATTTTTAAAAGTAAGGAAACAGAAGAACTCTACCTATCAAAGTTCTCACTTTTTATTTGTTCATCATTTTTTTTAGTAAAATTATGTCTCTTTTTTGAGAGAATACATGGATCCTCAGTCACCTTTCAATGTTATTTTTTATTTAACTCAGACTGTTAAGACTGTTTAGACTGTTTAGACGCTTAAGTATGTCACTTGGTAGTTACCTTTTAATAAAACATGATGTTTTTGTTTTCATTATGCTGCTTTATTAAAGCCCAACACACCTAAAATGTTAATACAATCTTTTTTGAAAAGATAATGGCAAAGTAGATCTGAAGAGTCTCTCTTCTTTTATTTATGAAGTGCTGATATCGTTGAACCAATTGATTGCTCTCCAGCTAAAGAACTGAAATAAATCACAAGTGTCAACTGATGCAAAGATTTAGCAAACAGAAAAGAAGGTTTATTGAAACCTCAAATTCTGTGGGAACTTACGATGACAAGGTCTGACGTCTCACTGCAGTTGATAGCAAGCCTCGGATGTGGTTTGCGTTTGCAGACAAGGAAATAAAAGAAGAAAAGATTAACTTACAGCATTGAATACAAATGAGTTTGTTTAAGTTTAGCCTCATCTTGGTATTTTCCAAGCTCAGCTACTATTTTTCAACTAAGTAAGGGTTGACTTCTGGAGGAGGCCAAGAAGCTCAGAGAAATTCCTTATGACTAAGTGAGGTTAAAAGCAATGTTCCTAGATTAAAAAACGTTAACAATTCTTGTAAACCATAAACGGACCCTTAGTAAAGAAAATTTTTTATTTTATAGTTTCGAGCAATATTTTTTTAATATAGAAGTTTGCGCCGCGTCATAGCGCCCTCTCACTTTTACAATCTGCTTTTCGACGCCATGTAGGCATTTCATGCCTGCTCGCTGCATTGTTCTTGTTCTTGATGTGTCTCTTTGCGTGATATTTTTTTGAATTAGCCTATTATTACTTTTATAATTGAACACAATTTTGGCATGAGCGCTGGGCCGCGCTCGCGGTGACTACTCCGAGAGCAAGGTGTCCATTGTTGCTCTGGTATTAGGGTGTGGGTGTGGAGCCGCTTAACAGGTGGTGTTAAACCATGACGCTCTCCCCCCCCCCGCGCCCCAACTGTCTGGCATAAACGGGTCCGTTTAAAAACCCCTGTTTAGGAATTTAATTGGCATACAAAAATTTAAGTTAGGGATTTTGAAGTTGGGATTATTTGCGGCAAAAATAGTACGGAAATGGCGTAGACAGCGTACACCGAATATTGAACAGAACCGTTACGTGACGTCTTACGCTACGTCTTACGTTTTATGAAGACGTAACGTAAGACGTAACGTAAGACGTAACGTAAGACGTAACGTAAGACGTAACGTAAGACGCAACGTAAGACGCAACGTAAGACGCAAGCAACGTAAGACGCAACGTTAAGACGCAACGTTAAGACGCAACGTAAGACGCAACGTAAGACGCAACGTACGGAACGTAAGACGCAACCTAAGACGCAACGTAAGACGCAACGTAAGACGCAACGTAAGACGCAACGTAAGACGCAACGTAAGACGCAACGTAAGACGTAACGTAAGACGTAACGTGTGTGGGGAGCTGCTCAACAGGTGGTGTTGAACCATGACGCTCTCCCCCCCGCGCCCCAACTGTCTGGCAGAAACGGGTCCGTCTAAAAAAAAATATAATTCTACAGGTGCAGGAAGCCAACAAATTGTGCCCGAACATTCAGCGGTGTGATTCAGAAGTGGATTAAGCAAATAAGACTTAAAAGAAAATAACGGTTTGGTCAAAAAACAAAAACAAAAGACAGTTTGTACGACCTATGAAATAGCCAGGACAAAGCCAACTAAACGTCAGAAAAGCAACGAAACGAACTCACACAACACAAAGTCATAACCGTGATTCGTATTTACGCCTTTACCAACTGAAAAACAACAACATTAAAAATATATTTAAAAATATTACAGACTGTACCATGGAGGTACAAGATCAATCAACAAGCAGACGAACACTAAAGTCTTTGAAGTAAAATAAGTATCTTATGCTAGCAGCCGACGCCGACGCTGTTCTTCTACGCGACTATGCTCGCATTTTCGAACCCTTACCTTATGTATGTTTTGGTGTATATGAAAAATCTCCAACATGGCGGCTGTCTCAATGAAAGTCAAGTGTATTTTAATTACAAGAATGGAATCATTGGCCCGTACTGTGTTTGCAACTGCAAGTCGCTTAGGATTTTCATTGACTTTCCCTACCAACGTTTGTGTGGGCTAATGGAACATGAATGAAAGTGATTTAGTGACGTTTCTTATCAACTTTATCCACACCATCTCTCTCTAACCCTCAAACCAGCAGTGTGCAGTTTAGCTCATCACCATTAATTTCAAAGAAAGGAGTATTCTCCTCTTGGAACATACTATGAAGGTGAACATGTCAGGATCAGGAACAGAGCTTTACTCTCCAGGTATGCATTTTATCCTATTTGGAGAACATCGGCTGTCAAAGTAACCAATTTGTCAGTACCCCATATTTTAAGTAGGTTAATCAACACCGTTACATTGGCACAGTTAGTTTCTAAAGGTTAAATTTGATTTTGTCATTCTCCTGTGTATTTGCGGCACCAATATGGATTTTTTTTCGAAGCAAGGTCTATGTGTTACGGATGAATTAGCCATATGGGTTTGCTGCCTTTCAGTCTTCCGTATGCTACGGATTACATAGCCATCTCAATGACCTCTAACGTTTACTATGGATGAATTAGTCTTACGGACAAGTCCCTCCATATTTTATGGATATGGTCATCCGTATTACGTTAGCGCAGAATTTACTGTAAGCTATGGATCAAATTATCCGTATTATGGATGATTTTATCCGTAAGCAAATGAGAGTGTTATTCGAACGAACCTCTGTTCTGTTTGTGTGTGTAAGGGGGGGAGGGGGGAGTCACAAAGTAGTAGTCGGTCGTATCCGACGGGCCGCTTCTTGATTTACTGGCTCGCCTATAGCCTAGTTAGTATAAGTACGACTTAAGCAATCCGCACTTTTCATTTGATACACCCAGAAAAATAGTTTCTTGATTTCAGTGCACGCTGACACAAGATGAAATTTACCCTTGAAACAAGCCAATTTTGTCTTTGGAATCAGATTTTTCTCTTATTCGGAAGAAAATATCAGCTTGCTTCAAGAGTAAATTTGATCTAGTGTCAGCGTGCACTTAAAACAAGGAAAAACTTACTTGAAACAAGAAACGATTTTTCTGGGTGTAATATACGTTGATATATTTACTATTAAACTACAGAACGGTCCTCGAAAAAGCGTAAGACCTACAGTGCTCGCCGCTTTCCACGAGTTTGCGACCTCTCCGGCATGAACTGAAATTACAATTTTATGTAGGAGACATATTTCGTTTCTACTACCCTCACAAAAATGTTTTCTTGCCCCAATCCCAAAAATATTCTTGACTCAATTTAAATTGGGATGAGTATAATTTTCTCGAGTGAAGACGATTTTTCTCGTTCGAAGATGGTTTTCTTCCCACAAGAAGAAAATATTCTTGATACATTCTGCTTAGCTCAAGAAAATAATATCCTTGTGCGACGGAACATGTAAGTAGGCCGGGTGGGGCGGATGGTCGATTGCGGGCGAAGTGTCAGCGGTGATCGGATTACCGGGTCCTTGACGGGCCAGAGGGGGCGGGACGCGTGCACTGTGTCGATTGCGGGCGGAGGAGGCTGGTAGGTTGCCTACCCGGGGACCGGCAGACGCTCCTTCTCCCAGCGGCTGGGTGGAGTGGGTGGGTGGGTGGAGGGAGGACGGACGGATTAGGGTGGAGCGCGCGAGCACTGTGAGACAGAGGTCAAGACTGTCTCCGGGGGTACTATTTAACTTATTACAGCCAAGACTAAATATTCTTGGGATAAGAAAATAATTCTTGAAGTAAGGTATTTTTATGGATGATTGACACAAGAAAAAAATATTCTTGGGCCAAGAAAACAAATTCTTGTCCGACCGACAAGAGAAAAATATTCTTGGCCCAAGTAGATTTCGGTTGCGGCAAAAAAAACCATTTTGTGAGTGGAAAGGTGAAATGCGATTGCTAATATAGGGTACGTTCTCTCTGGTAATCAATGTTCAGAATGGTTTGTTCCTGTTGTATAGCACAAATGACCACCTTTGCTGTTGACCACCTGTTGCAGCTCATAGCTTCCGGGCTTAAGTTGGGCGCTTACTCCTTGGGCACGGCCGCCCCCATCCTGATCGTGTTCGTGCCGCTGTGTGAGGTCGGCGATCGCCTGAGTCGGGCAAGGCGCGGCGTGGCGGAGAGCGCGGCTGAGGGTCCCTGGGTGGAGGAGAGGCCCAAGCAGCGCCAGCTGCGGCTGGCCGTGATGCAGGTGCCGATGAGCGCTCAGCGCAGCATTTTGTTTGGTAGAACTACTCGACGGGGGAAAACAACACTTAGGCGGGCGAAAACACCACCTCTTTTTGAAGGCTGATATCTCTGCCATTTTGAATCTGATTGTCTTCGAGTAGAAACACTTTCGTTTCATTTCGTCAAAATGGATCGACACATGTCACCGTACGTTTAATTTCCTTAGACATTTACTCATTATAAGGCGTGTGCATTTTTTAACCCGCAGGTGTGCATTTATTAGCTAAGTGGAGGGTAAAAAACGCACGAAGTTTTTTGCTTATTGTCGCAATACTATGCACTTTGAACGCAATATTTCGCTTCCAAATTGTGCTGTAACTGCTTCTTCACCTTGCTAAACATGCGTCACTTCAATATACATGATGGTGTAGCTGTAAACGAGAAAGATTCGTTTATATTCATTTATTACCCGACCTGACACTAGTTTGAGCAGTCTGGAAACTGATGTGTTAGGCATAAAAAAAAGAGGCCTCGCGGGATAAGTAACAAGCAGGCCCGCCCTTCCGCCAAACGCAGTTGCCAGCTCCACTTCGCTGCGCCGGCAACTCCGTTCGGCAGGGGCCGCACAGTGAGCTGAGACCGGGAAAAAACGATCAAAACTCTCATTTTTAGATGTTAGCGATGTCAGGATTTCACATGCGGGATTTATTAATGAATGTCTATAGAACATAAAACCACCCTGGTGACCCCCAGGTCCACCTGCTTTCTGGTTGATTTTCTTGTTCAAAAAGTGTCAGTTTCGTTCAGGTTCCAAAGTGATTTCGCACTACTTTTGTTTTCTGCATTTTGCGTCCGTTTCTTTCGGTTTACCTGCATGTCCGGGGTATCAATGGAAAGGGCACAACCTAAAGAACACGCTGCCGCTGTCGTTGCGTTGTTGCGACGACTTACGCGAGTCCTGCAGGACACCAAAGGACTTGATGAAATCGTGTTATTGAGCAACTTTGAAAGGGCTGCATCTTTTTTTGGCCACGTTTGGCCACGGCGGTTTCAGCGACATCTTACAGCCCTAGGGTTCATGTTTACGGGGCAACTTGCCGTTCGTGCTCGTAGGTGCTCGTTTTCTCGTAAAGTCGACTTCATTTTACCATATTTTTAGAGGTTTTCGTGTTACTATTGTACGGATATGGCTGTTGCACGAAAAGTAGCAAAAGGATTTACATCAGAATCACTCCAGGAGGGTATTGAAACATGCTGATTCCATTTCTGAACTCAATTTTTTTACAGAAGGGGCGGAACTAGGTGAAAAAAAGGGGGTGAATTCCATTTTTTGGCTGATGTGGTTCAAACTTGGTGTACGGAAGTTTTAAATCATGCTGATTCCATTACTGAACTCGAAATTTTTGTAGAAGGAGCGAAACCAGGTCAAAAAATGGGGGTAAATCTTAATTTTAGGTTGATTTTGTTTGAACTCGGTGTGTTGAGGTTTTAAGGCGTGCTGATTCCATTTCTGAACTCGAAATTCATGCAGAAAAGACGGAACCAGGTCGAAAATTGGGGTATGTGTTAATTTTGGAAACGCCCTTCTCAACCTTGCCGATTTCAAAAGTACAAGGTTGGGACACCGCAACAAAATTTTCGAGTACAAAAATGAAATCAGCATGCCCAAAAACCCTAGTAAACCGAGTTTGAACAAAATTGTCCAAAAAATTGGATTTACCCCCTCTTTTGGACCTAGTTCCGCCCCTGTGACAAAAATTTTGAGTTCAAAAATGAAACCAGCACCCGTCAAAACCCCTCCGAACCAAGTTTGAGGTCAATGCTCGTATTACTTTCGTTACTATTAAATTTTGATCGTTTTTTCCCGTTCTCAGCTCACTGTGGGCCGGGCCTGCTTGGCATGCCGGCGGCGATGGTCGGGCCTGCGGCCCGATCATTCAGTCTCGCGATTTCCTGAAAAACATAACCAAATAAATCATGTGACCGGTAAATCACTTTGCATATTTGAGTAAATTAACTGCCGGCGGGGGGCCTGCGGCCCTAGAGATTTGCTCCTTTCTCATGACAAAAGACTGTAACGGTTCAACACCGTGACTACACCCCACCCTGCTGCTTTGCTTAAGAAAAATACAAAAAACTTAACCAGCGCAGTTTTTAGATTGTTCTGTTTGTCAAACAGTCTTAAAGCTTGACTTTTTCCCATTGTTTTCAATAGATCCACCTCTAGGGCCGAAACAGTGAAAGATACGGCAGATCCGAGGGTTGGCCTTGACTCAGAATGTGTTGTTTTGGGGGGTACTTCCTCTGACATTTTACGATTGGACGCCTCCATGTACGTCTTTATGTGCAACGAGGTCATTTTTGCCGTATTTTCGTAGAAATAAGCACTCTAGCGCCCAAACGGTGCAAGAAAGAGTCAAACGGACAACATTTTCGCCCATTGGGCTTTCACGAGTTTGGGAGACCAGAACAAAAATATTTCTTTCCTACTTTTTGTACCAACCCCTAACTCTTTGTTACCCCCTTTCACCCCCTTAAGGGTGGTTGCCAGGATTTGCACCAGGCGTTTCGTTGTCCAGGAGTGACCCCTAAGATACCGTGAAATTTGTAGACCCCTAGCTCATCTCCTTCCTCTCACACGGACGACGGACGGACGGACACGAGAGCGGTTGCATAAGCCCGCTTTAATGCTTTTTTAAAAGCAGAAGGGCGGGCTAAAATACCGCGAATCTTATATAATTTTAGTGATAAATTATTATTATTTAAAGTTGAATATTACTGAAAATTAGAGAGAATTGCTGATCATAGGGCAGATGGTGGCGTTTCTTTTGTGAAAACAGGCTGCCATGGGAGAAGGCGCATTTCTTCGAGGGAGTGGAATTGGACCTCTGGACCGAGCTACTTGCGGTAACGCTCTTAGGTCATGGTTTAGCTTTCTCCAGGTAAGCTGACATAGGCTGCCGTCCCTCATTTTTCCATTTTCTAGTATTAAGTTTACAGCTGTCAGATGGTTAAATGAGGTGATAATCCATTACGATAGTAAGGGCTATTTCCTTGACGCGCAATGTTCAAGTTACTCCTTTTTTGTGCACCTTGGTTTAGGCTGCGATCAGCTAAAGGTCACTTTAGGTAAGATCAGCTAGAGAGGATCAATTAACAGTCAAAATCTAGGACTGAATCATGTTGACAATCCACTGAATTTTGCTGTAAGACATTATTATTTTCGTCTGATTAAACGTATCACTGTAAAAAAAACGGGCGTAATTTTATCTGTCAAGTAGTGGGTAAATTTCACCCCGTGGCCTTGAAAACTATGTTGCCAATCAATGGACTGGGAAATCTTTACTCTCCACCCGCTTGGTAAAGTTATTTGCACAATAACTGTTAAAATTCACGTATGTTCAGAGAAAATTACTTTTTGAACTTTTTTTGGTAGTTTACGTATCCACATGGCAATTTAAATATCTACATGGTAAATTTACATTTCATATGATGTCGAAAATTGCTGGGTGCTTCGGGAGATGCCAGTTACACATCCAAATGGTAATTTTAGGAAGCACTGGATTGGTGTTTACATGCCATAGGATTCCTGACACGCGACAGACTATCGAATGCAAGAGCGAGTCGTGGGTCTTAGATGAAAGTCCGTGTCGTCCCTTTAGTCACCGTTGATAGCAAAGACAATCTATAGATGTAAACAGACATCGTTCCTTTGAGAAGACATCATCTATCGGCGCGTCCCCTCCCAGAGGTAGTCGATGGGTGAGGGGTAGCGTGCGCGCTCCCGAGCTCGGAGGTTACGGGTTCTACTCCCATCAGGTCTAACAGATATTTCGGTATATCGGCAGGCAACAGCCGCTCTTAGCAGTTGAGAGGGGAACGCCAACAGGTTGGGAACCTGCATGCATATCGTCATTTTTTTCTTCTTAATAACTGATCTTCTACTTTTGCACGTGCAAATTTACCATGTGGATAGGGACATGCGGTCTTACCTATCCACAATTTAAATTACCACTTGGATACGCCAACGTCTAGAATTTATACAAATGGAAGATTACCATGTGGATACGCAAAACATTTTCCCCTATCCAAGTGCATGGAAATGTCCCATGCTATGGATAGCGAAATTAGTTAGTAATTGGACCGGGAAATTTACTCATTGCGGTCGGGGAAAGGGGCGTTTACTCATCCACCTGCGCAATTTTGCCCTGAAAACGTGGTTTTACTCATGTCGTGTGTAAGGGGCCCTGCACAAAATAACTTACGTCACGTTTTTTTAGGTGGGGGAGGGGGTTTAGATCAAGGGTGATGTGTGGGTGACGTAGGTGGGGAGTGGGTCAGGGGGGTTGTGACGTCACTCTCCGTTTGCACTGGAAAGACGAATAAAATAAATGTATAGGAAATATCCCATTAGGGAAGATGTGTATCGGAAAAGTACGAAGTGCATAACCATGCGAGTGTTGGTACAACAATATTTTGTACGGTTATCCCCGATCTTCTATAGGATGGTTGCTACAAGTTTCAAATTTTCTGGGCGATCAAGTCAGTTAGATCTGTAAAATGTCCGGTTGAGTGTTCTAACAAACGATTAAGCAACAGGTTCAGCAAACGTTTTGGAGCGGCAACAACTTATGGCTTTGTTGTTTCTCGGACCACACTAACTGTTTCGCTTCCAAGCCAGTGAACTTTTTGCAATGATAGAACTCGAAATCTATGAATTTCAACGATCCAATTAAATTACAGGTTATACTCAACGTACAACGGAAAGCAGGTGTCCACTAACAACAGTTGGCTTGCGCGACGCTGAACTCCGACAGAAACAAGAAAGAAAAGACCAAATAAAGTTTCTAGCTATCGCAGCAATTGCACCTCGTTATTTCGTTAGCATATGGTAGGTCTCTTTTTATGCAAGTACTCGTTCTTTGATCAGGCTGACGAAGGTTGCCTGTGAAATGTTTTATCGGACGAAGTTGAGGAAAAAACCTGGCCCCCGATCAGTAGTAGCGCACGTCGAAGTAGCCTACAACTGCCATCCGCTAGTGTCACCTCCGAATTTAGAAGCGATGTTCTTCGGAGTACGCAGGCCCGCTCTTCCCCCTACTGCAGTTGTGGAACAGGAGTCGTGTAAAACCGAAAAAAGTTCCCCTGTTAAGGTAGTTGAATATGGTGTTTTTTTTCTTGGGTTGTATTAGTGCTTTCTTGGTGCCATTTTAGATGAAACTTGCTGTAGTATTTATTTTATGTTGTTTTCCTCGAGGGTTTGGTCGACCCTACCTCGCCTTTTCTTCTGACTTGCTTTGAGAACTTCACCTTTGTGCTTTGTGAGCAGTATTTTCTTTGCGACTAAAAATATAATTGAGTTAAAAATTTAAGGAATTTGCCTCGAACTCCGTCGTTTTTCTATGAATTATCATTGGAAGGCAACAGGTTACTTATTGACGGCAGAATAAAAACAATTAATAACCATGCAAACCGGCAGAGATAGAGCCTTCTCCCAAAAATTTTCATCCAAAGGGCCGTAAAATTGCGTGTTTAGCCAAGGAAAAAATAATAAGCAGAAAATTTTGGTATTCAAAACCACCTCTTATTGCAAATCAGAATAATATGAAATAAGGCATGACAACGTTCGAGGAAAGAAAATATAAAAATGTTACATCAGCTTTTATCCAAAATGGCACCAAAAAAGCACTTTTACAACCCAAGAATGGATAATAAGCGATATACGACTTACCCTACCAAAGCTATCTACTCGAGCGCTACGAAGCACAGAGGCGCTTTGTTGCCTGGTCAGGCGGATTGTCTCTTTCTTTAGCTCTGTTGGCTAATTGTTTTCTCAGAGAGAGCTGTAGATGTTGTTGTTTGGGTGGTGGCTACACTGACGGGGAAAAGAGCGCTAAAAGGCAAAACGCCCCTGCACCCACTTGGAGACTTTCTGACGCTAACATGTGATTACAATGTCAGAAAGCCGAACCGAGTGTGAAATTTTTAGTTTTAGAGTTGCGGAACTCTTTCTACGAAGTTTTCCGAATGTCTGAAGGTAAGGAACGCAAGTCATTTCTAAAATATACGTAAGGGGGTGGGGGTAAGGTGTAATAGGCAGGTTGCCGCAAGCTGTTCGGTTTGAAATCCGTAGCAGCCGACTGATTTAGGGGATCGTTCTGGGGGAAGGGGGGGGGGGCACTCGAGGGCTCGCGCCGGTCGTGCCCGATTGGGCCAGGCACTGGTCGGGCACACGGCAGAAGTAAGATTGCCTTGTTCGTCGAGGAGTAGACAGAAGTTCTCGTCGGGCAATTTTATTCCAGGCTTTTCCCGTGTATTCAAATATGGGTAAGTAGGAATACGAGCCTCATTAAAGTTTTTTTTTGTTGGACGCCGTTTGAAGACAATCTTCTTTGTTGAGCAGGTACTGAATGACATGACATAACTTTAAACTCACGGCTGCGACTGTGATAACCCGCGCGATGCGATTGTCTGAAACATTTTTTTTTGTCTACTACCTGTCTTGCCTGAAAGGTTTCGTTGAAACAGGAACGATTTCTCTGCCTGTTTTCTCTTTAAAGCGGGAAACCATCTGGCCCCGAATCGATTTAAATATGCTTTAAACATTGCTTGTCTTTTCCTTTCACATGTGTCATGATGACAGTATCGCAGATTCGAGATTTCAGCTGAACATAACAAAATAAAACAAACTTATTTTTGAAATTCACATGTAATTCTCGACCAAGAAACAAAGAAACATGTCCGAATAATTATAAAAAGACCTGACGGGGGGGGGGGGGGGGCGATCGCCCCTTCGCCCCCCTCATAAAACCGCGCCTGTAACATGTTGTGTAGGTTAAGTAGTCCACTCGAAGACACTTGTGCAAGGAGAAGCATGTCCACTTGTCACACGTTGTGGCGTTCGTTTAGGAGTGTTCGACAAAATATTAACAAGAGTTAACCGATTCAAATATTCGCGTACCATGACAACACATTCAACAACATCTCCATTATTTAACCTCATTCCCGCGTTGTTTGTCGATGTTCGAGCTTCGTGTGCTGCAGCCGACTCAACTTGCAACTGTGTATTAATGCATGACATGCTTTTGTGTGGTACGAGAAGGCACAGCAGAAGCAGCAAACGAGTTTAGTTAGCGGCACTCTCTTATTGTGAAAGTTAGTAAAGAAATCTGAAAGTATTAATTCGCACTACACACAGTGACAAGTGTTGTCATGGTTCGCGAATATTTGAATCGATTACCTGTTGTCGGTTTTTGTCGAGTACAACGAGATGAACTTCACAACGCGTGTCAAGTGGATATGCTTGTGAGCACGTGTCTTCGAGAGATTATGGCTGGACTGATGGTGCTCTGTCAAATCGCACTGGTGTACTTACGTTCCTTTGTCAGCTCATCCGTGGACTTATGTTCCTCTGTCAGATATACAGGGGGATATCAAAAGACATAAATCACACTGAAAGTTGTTCTAATTGAAATGAGATAGGGCTGATATGTTTCGCAATGAATTAATGCATCCTTATACAAAACATTCTGCGAAGTAAAAAGTAATCTAGCTTTAAAATTGTAACCGCCAGCCTAAAAGTAGACACACGTTTAGCCCTCCCCGAAAATTAGCTCAGGCGTGGACTCAAGGACCCCGTCCCTTTGTCAAATCACCAGTGAATTGATTTTAGGCCTTTACACGCTCTGTTGTGGTCGCGATCGCTGGTACGGTCAGCTCCAGCCGGGCAGGCTCTTCCACTCTCACCGCTTGTGCTCAGCGGCGTAAGAGGAAGTGTCGATAAGCACTCACCGCTCGATAAGCACTCGCTGCTGTGCAGATATTTAAAAGGAGACCTCTCGCCTTGATAAAATGAGAAGATCCAAGGTGTGACATGCGACTTGCACACATGTGCGATAACTACGAGTTGGTGATAGAAAAGGGTCCACTATCGTTACTTAAAAAGTATTTCGACGCGTCCTACGAACAAAGTTCGATGTTCCGACGCACCGTTCAACACTGTCCGATCTCCGGGCGCCCCGTTCAACAAAGTTCGATCTCCTGGCGCGCCGTTCAACGCTGTCCGATCTTCTTTTCGAGGTTTGCAGCGTGTTGGAAGTTTAAACGCCTCGTACGTCTGTTCGTCAAGATCATATCATTTTATTATTGGTCCAATGTGTTGCGTAATCTTTGAGGATCTCATAGAATTTATTAGTTTCCTTTTAAGTGAACTATCAACGAAGATATCACGTCTTGAAGCCTACGGTGCAGATAAAAGCTGAAAAGGAGATCGGACAAGCATTGAACGGCGCGCCTGGAGATCGAACTTTGTTGAACGGCGCTCCCGGAGATCGGACAGTGTTGAACGGCGCGCCGGGAGATCGAACTTTGTTCGTAGGACGCGTCGATTTGTGCTTGTTTTGCTCGCGTCCTTTTTTTGTCCCTATCCTGCTTAGTACACTGTAGACCCTGTACGACTGATATTCAGGAAAACAATTATCAGCCCTCGAGATTTTACGGACGTTTTTATGTTGTAACATTAGCCTCTTAATTTGACACATTTGTCATTTGCCTAGTGACCGACCGGACTTCAAGTGTACTTAATTCCCGTAGTCCGAGTGCACTCTGCACTCCACGTACGACTTTGTGCACTCCTATGTGTCTCCTCTACATTCGTGGACCAATCGACGTCAACTCGGATAAAAATGAATTGGTCGTCAGAACTAAATATTTGTAATTTCGTGACAATCGATCAAAAAATTGTTAAGGTAACCAATGATTTGCTATCAGAACCAAGATTAAGTTGTCAGAACAAGCTGCACTGTCAAAGAGAGTTTTTTAACAACAAAAGTTTTTGCAAAACAGCAATGTTTGTTGCGAAACATCAATAATGTTCCTAAACATGTTTTGCTGTTCTTCAACAACTTTTGTTGTCCCTGAACAACTTTTGTCGTTACTCAGCAATCGATGTTGATCTACAACTACTTGGAGTCAACGACAAACTTCTTCAACAACTTTCATTGGTCCTGAACAACTTTCGTTGCTTCTGAACGACTTCAGTTGTAATTGTAAAAATGTTTTTTGTTTTTTTTCCTGTTCACCTCAACAACTTTTGTTGTTCTTGAACAACTTTTGTTGTCCCTGAACAACTTTTGTTGTTACTCAGCAATCGATGTTGATCTACAACTACTTGGAGTCAACGACAAAACTAACAGAGATTAGCTTTTAATTCTAGATGATATTTTTAATGTGCACTCCTGAATGTGGGTTGTCTTGACCTCTTACACTGTTAAAAATGCTGTAAGGAATTACAGTTTCACTACAGTCCATCCTGTATATATTATATGTGCAGGCCAGACTGTAATGATATGGGCTGTACTTCAGTGTTGAAGTCAAGTGCTGTGTTGACCAAAAAGGCGGTTTGCGAAGTTACAGTACATCCTGTACAGAGTGGACTGTAATCAAAAATTACAGTCTCGACCGTAGCGACAAATTGACAGGGCAAACTGTAGAATTTCCTGTAGGATTTTTTAACAGTGTACAGCACCATGAAGTGGAGACAGGAAAAACATTTTTTAAGAGGCAATGCTCCTCAAACTCAAATGTAACGTCAGTTGTGTTTTTTTTTTTTTTTTTTTTTTTTTTTTTTGCCGTTTCATAATGGTTTATTCGTTTTGTAGCGACATTTCCTGTTTTGGAACGGTTTTAAACTGTTTTATAACGTCTCAGTACTGTTAAGTTACGACACCGTTGTTTATATTTGGAATGATTCGAACGTGGAGAAATGACTTTTGTCGTTCGACTACGACCCAATGTCGTTGGACGACAACCCAGTGCCGTTTTAGAACGACTTTTCCTGCGTTTTAGCAACCAACAGCAACCAA